CTCTCTCTCTCTCTCTCTCTCTCTCTCTCTCTCTCTCTCTCTCTCTCTCATTCGCTGCTGCTACTCGTGCCTGTCTCCTCCGCGTCACTCGACGACGTGTCAGAGAAGGACGACGCGTCACTCGATGACGACACGTCGGTCGATGACCTCGGTCGCGCTTCCACTTCCTCTGCAGAAGACGAAGCGCTGCTGCTTGCGGATTCATCGTCCTCTTGCACACACTTCCTCCTCTTTGTGGTGACTTTCTTTAGAACTTTTTGTGTCTTCCTCTTCTTTGCCTGCCGAACAACAACACACTTCTCTTGCAAGGTCGTCGGCGGTGTGACTGTCCTGCGTCCCTTGCCTCGTCCACCTTGTCTCGACGGTTCTGCTGTCTCCTTCGGCTTGTTCTTCCCTCCTTTCTTCCTGCCCGCCAAACTCTTCACTTGGCGCACCAAGCTCGCGTTGATTTCGAGCGACGACATTGGCTCACGTTGTGCAGCTGCATCTTGTGGGTGGTCAAGTCCAGCAGCTCGGGTCCTCCTCCTGTACACCATGCCTTGCGATCAGTCCCTGGCCTGTGTGGGAGTGTCCGCACTCAACTGCAGAGTGGGAGGGGTCCGTCCAGTGAATCTGGCCCAATCAGGAGTCTGTCCCTCGGAATCACTCCTCATGGGGTACATCGCAGCCAGGTGTTTCTGGAAGTCTGTCTTGGAGCCTCTCGCAGCAATGGGCGCCACGTGTTGCAACAAGGAGGCGAATATGTCAGCCAGCGGCAACCCTGGGTCCGGAGTGGAGAACACATCGCCGCCGGAGCAATGGGTGTCCTCCGCTGCTCCAGGGACCGGGTCGTCCTTGTCCGCACATGTGTCTCCATCCTCGCATTCAGCAGCACCGGGAACCAGAACGTCCATAGACACACCAAAGTCTCAAACATCCCCCGCAGCAACACTGTCCTCGTCAATATCCGTCGATCCTCCGCATGTTGCCCCGGAGCCTGTGCGTAGTTCCTCGACCGCAGCTCGCCGGTGAGGAGTGTGTTGCGCGCCCAAGACTGTGCTGGTGCCCTGAACTGAAGCCACACCACCAGCCGCCCAGCTGCGCAGTCGTGTACGGGCACCAGCGTCGCCCATCAATGACACCGAAGTAGCCGCCGAAGGCCCGCCGGATGCACGGCCAGCCAACGGCGTGATGTCGACATCTGTCGCAGAACATGACCCGCCGCCCGACCGCCTGCTAAGCCGCTTGTCTGTGAGCCGCACTTCGAGTAACTCGTCATCACCATCGTTGTCGTCTCTGTCGTCCTCCTCCTCATCAACAGCAGCAGCGGTCTTCCCGTGGTTGTCAACCGCGAGACAGCGAGGGCGATAGGAAACATCAAGGAGCCACGCCCCGTCATCCACCCTCTCCTCCTGAATCTCCCGCACATCGAATCTGGTGCTCTTCGATCTGCGCCCTTGAGATTTCGAGCAGTTGGCAACCCTCCTCTTCACCTCTGCGGGGTCGTACTCCCCATCTCGCATGAAACCGTCGAAAGGAGCGTCGTCCTCGGGTGTCTCCCACTCTAGCTGCTCAGTGTTCACGATCCCATCTTGGCCTTCGCCATGCGCAGCAACTTCTTGTTTTAGTGGATGAAGACGAGCATCTCCAGGTTCTCCGGGCTCAACAGATTCCTCCTCTTCGAGTGAACGAGATCGAACGTGGACCAATTCCTCTCACATGGAGAGGTTCTGGTCCACATGCTAAGCACTTTGACAACGATCTTCATCAAGGTTGGGTGCCTCTTCCCATAAGTCAACCACCACTGTGCCATAGACACGTGACCGACCGTCAAAGCCTCCTCAGTGTTCTTCCCAATCCACTCCAGATCCATGTCATGGAAACTCTTAAGGGAGTTTCAACACTCTTTGTACTCCTTTGAATTCTTCGTGTGAACTGAAGCAAAGTGTGTCAAAGTGTTCGCAATCTCCTCAGAATCCAAGTCGTCGAAGAGTCGAGGTGATCGGTGGAGCGGGTGCAACACCAAGCCGCTGCATGCACAGGTAGAGCCATCATCCGCACACGGTCTTTGACCTTCGCCATCACGAACTGCCTTGTCTCGTGATCCATGGGTAGCACGGCCATTCTCTTCTCCAACGTGATGCCCAACGACCACACCTGCATACCCATCCTCCCATCTTTGTCCATGTTCTTCATCAAGGCGTAAACGGGCTCAAGCAAGGTGCATGCCCTGTCCACAGTCAACCACCAACCAGGGTCTCGTATGAGCTCCTTGCACGACCGCGCCCGTGTCGCTGCTATCCTGTCCCATGGAGAGTCATCCCACCACGGGTTGGAAACAGTCAACAGCAACACGCCCTCACACTCCCGAAGACGCTGCAGCATGAGGATGTTCGTGCCAAATCTAGTCTCCCCCGGCTGGATCAGCTCCAACGGCGTCCCTTCTTTGATGTTCATCCGTGTCTTGTACTCCCTCCCACTTTTTTGAAACATCGCCAACGCCCGCTGATGTCTCTTGATGAAGGTTGTGATCTCCTTGCCCTGCAGAATCACCTCCGCGACCCATGACACCGAAGCAATGTCAGATATGAGCAAGTTGCACGCATGGCATGCGCACGACACCCATGGAATGTTTCTAATGGCAGGGTCCTCGTGCTCAGCCAAAATCTTCCTGGCAGAAATGTTAACCTGTGCTGAGTCGGTGCAGATGGCGTTGACCCTATGCACCCCCAACTCCCTTATGACCTCCACCCATATCCTCACCAAAGCCGGAGCCGACTTATCCTTCCCCTCCATGTCCACACTCCTCACCATGACCGCCCCCGAATCGCCGGCTGCAATGAAGTTCATGACCGGCCTGTTGTTGGTCGTTGTTGTGCCATCCGTCATCAAGGTGAGGCCTGTGACATCCCACGGCTCTCGGATTTTGTCCAAATCATTGTCCACCACTTTGTACTCCGCGGGCAGGGCCTTCGTCCTCAAGTAGTTGTACCCTGACATTCGCAACATCTTCCTCGACCTCGCTACCAGGTTCATGATCCTTTTCAAGTTCTTGTACGAGTCTGAGCGCGCGGCATTGAAGGCGATGGCATTATCAAAGAAGAACGAAGCAACCCCCTGGTCGAACTCCTTTTGCAACTCATCACAACGTAACTCGTCATGGATGACTGTTGCGCACCCGATGGAGGTCGCGGAGGGCGAGCGACAACCAGAACAGGACCCCGCAGGTGATCAGCAATCTTCGACGGGAGGTCAGGCTCTCTGGAATCCGGAGCGGTTGTATAGGCAACAAAATCTGCCCTCTCCCGTCGTTGAACAGATGTCGAATCATAACCGACACCACTGCCTTGTCCCCCCGTTGAACCTGTGTCACGCCCACCGTCTCCCCCTGCCGACGACGTACCAGGCTCCCCCGATGCACCAGCTCCATCACCCAATGCAAGATCCTGCGGATCCTCAGCATCTGCCGGACGTCCGTGTAAAGCATAGTACTCGTTCAATTTCGCCATCGGCGCAGGGAACAATTTCACCTTCGGGTGCTTGCTCCGAATCACAGAAAGAATCTCACCGGTGGTACGGGGACAGCGGGCATTGCCCGACGGCTGGGTGTGGTGATTCACGACTTTGCTGAGCGTGCCGATGAACTCTTTGTTGCACAGACTGCAACGCAACCTCCACGAGCTGTGCGACGTGCCGGTCGTCACCCTCTGGCCCCTCTCCGCCCATTTCGCAAAGCTCCGACTGGCTGAGCGTCCTTTCTCTGTCTGCACCAGTCTCAGGCTCGAATGGTACTCGATTGCCCGCCATGGTCGTCGCAATCGAGGTGGGTGGTTGGTAGGGAGAAGAAGAAGAAGAAGAAGAAGAAGAAGAAGAAGAAGAAGAAGAAGAACAAGAGGAAGGAGAAGAAGAAGAAGAAGAAGAAGAAGAAGAAGAAGAAG